CACCATCATCACCACCATCATCACCACCATCATCACCACCATCACCATCACCACCATCACCATCACCACCATCACCACCATCACCATCACCACCATCACCATCACCATCACCACCATCACCATCACCATCATCACCATCACCATCATCACCACCATCACCATCATCACCATCATCATCACCTGGACAGCTTTAATGTGGAGAATGGAAATGCAGAGTGGAAGACCTGTAAGGCTTACTGTACTGGTGTAGTGTCAGGTATGCTATCGAAAGAAAAATCTGCTTCACATGCAGCTGGTCTTTTTTTTTTTTTTTTTTTTTTTTTAAACAGGGTCTCATTGTGTTGCTCAGGCTAACTTTGAATGCACTATGTAACCCAGGCTGGCCTTGCCCTCCAGGCAGGCCCCGTGCCTCAGCCTCCCAAGTGCTGAGGTCAGAGGCCTGCACCACCACACCTGATTTGCTTCACAGTAAGTTGGAAGAAACAGCTTTGGATCATTGTTGAGTCATTTACTGCTTGTCTTTTCCAAGAACTCCTACTAAGATTTTTATGGGGAAGGGAGTTCAGAATTCAACTATCTGAAATGGAAATTATGAATCAAGAGACTCCAGAGATATTAGTATCTTAATGTCACACTCTGTCTTCTTCCTAAAAATGTCTACTTTCGTTTAAGAAACATCTGTGAGCTCAGTCCTAACAGGCAGGTCTAAAGGACCCCAATATCTAGATGAAAATGAGTCTATGACAAGCCAGCACAGCCTATTGGTAGCTCACCCCCCCCATGAAATTAATCCTTTTTCTCAGACTGAAGGACACTTTGGAGGTCTCCTCAGCTCCTCTTGTGAAGAGCAGAAACACATTCCATCAAACAACTGCAAAAGTTTCCACACAGCTCATGTGCAAGTCCCCTAGTCCTGGGGGCTAAGAAGGACCCGTGTGTGCTACACGCTACTGATAGGTCTGTATTCCTCTAGGCATTTATGTGACTTTAGCGCAGAGAAGGACGAGCCTAGCATATCCTAGAGGACACCACTGCCCAAATCAGGGAAGCTTCTGAAAAATGTGAAAATGCAAATGCTCACCAGTGCAAATGCTTCCCCCAGTGCAGACTGTTTCCAGTTCTCAAAACAATTCATGCCACATTTAATTTTCTACATAAGATACAAGTGTTAGGGTATAATGGTAAGGGTCACTTGCATTTAAATGTTAGTGCTCTGGGAGGGATTTGTGAGAGGGAATAAGGGAAGGATAACTTCTTTGGATTAGGATTACCCAAAGAGCCCCTAGAGGTTGTTTTGGCCATGTCTCATGCAAGCGTTGGTGGAAGACGGGACCTGTAATGGTCAATAGTGATGCTATTGAGCACCTTGAGGTGCACAAGGTGGTCCCTAACACAAAGACACATCCAACCCGTAATAAATGATAAAAAAATTAATTCAGTTCATCAGTAATGCCCAGGAAGAACCCAGACCTGGACGATCTCTGTTGGCATGCTGAAATCTCTAGACACATATACTAGAACACAAATATTGGGCTTAATCTGCGAACTCTTATTAAAATATTTTCATTATAAGTTTTTTATTTTTCTATTTTACTTCTGAATGTAACCCAGGGTTTTGTGAAACTACTGTTGATATTAAATATGTTAAACTTGGATATTGTGGTAATACATGATTTAATATGCACATGCATCATCTGGTTCTCTGAACAACTCACACCACATTTAATTTTCTACAAAAAACACAAGTGTCAGGGTAGAGCAACAAGGGTCACTTGTGCTTAAATGTTAGTTGAATAACACTCATGAATTCCAAATTCACATCACAAGCCACAAATTACTACAAATCATGAAAATTCAGGATTTCTTTCAAGAAAAATGTGTTAAAAGTTAAATCCCTTAAGGACCAAGTAGCCACAATATTTATTTTGTTTGAAATTTGCAATTAACTGGTGAGGAAAAAATTAATTCAGTTCATTAAGTTTGAAATTCCTGTTTACTTTAAAGTAACCCTAGTTTGTTGTAAGTTGAAAGAACGGATTTCTTTTCTAGAAGGCAGGCTGACTTTGCCCTAGTTTCGAGACCGCGGGCATCCCCCGCCCTTACTTTCTTGGACTTCTGCTTTCTCTCCCCTCCGGCGGAGACCATCATTCCTAGCACTTTCCAAGCTGCAGTGTCACCGTGTATGCATGATCCAGCGCCACAAGCCATCACGTGGAAAAGGGAAAACATGATCTGATCCTCTGATTTTAATACAGTGCCCTTCGATAGCGAGCCTCCCTCGCAGGAGCACTGCGAAGACCCAATGGACTGTGACAGCACTTGGAAAAATGGCCCCGAGAGATCAGTAGAAAACGCAGGTGAAAGGCACAACACAGGTGGCAGAGCTTTCCCCAGGACAATGGCTCTGCGCCCGCGCCAGCCCCTCGCCCTGGCCCACGGCCCCCGTTCCCACGGCCATCCTTCCCCGAGGACTCTGCCCACTCACGTGCCTTCCCCTCCTGTGGGTGCAGTCCGAGGGTGCTGGGTCTTCTCCTCACTTGGTCGCCGGGCTCTCCTTCCTCTGCACGGCAGGTGCCCCAAATGGATCAAAGTCCTGAAGGGCACGTGTGGGAGACAGACTGGGCCGGCAGCGCGGGTGGAGGTGGCTTTGCTTTCCTGGAGCACTGGGTGAGGGAGACTTCATGCTGCCAGCTGGAGGCAGAGCCAAGTCCCCGAGGCGCTCCCAACTTGAGGCTCCAGTCAGCAGCAGCGTGCTCGCCTCCCACCAGCTACAATACTTGCAAAAGTGAAACTTGGAGGACAAATGAACTTTGGCTGGGTTCTGCCCTTGGGAGTTGTTTAGACCTGCAGATACCATTGCGTCCCTGGCACCCCTCGGTCTCCCCAGAAAGCTGCAAGGCATGCTGGGTCCCTATTCCATACTCCACTGGGCCAGTGAGGGCGGCCTGCGGTACAACCACCTGCCTGGCTGGGCCCGTGCTGTGTCTTCACGCCGCTTCCGCCTGGTCCACATCAAGTCCTCCACACCTGGGGCCAGGTTTCCTTTGGAAATGGAGCTGCAGAGGTGGCAGCAAGGCCGAGATCAGATGTGCCCCCTTATTCTGTGGAGTAGGAAGTGAGAACTCCAGAGGGGAAGCGCCTCTGCCCGATGAGGACCTCAGGTCCAGTTCCGGGGGGGGGGGCGGCTACTTTTATTGCTCTTTTTGCTTTTTTCTTAAGCTCTTTTGCTGAATAATGAAGCGATTTATTACTCTCAGAGACTTAGCCCGAGAATTCTGCTTAAGTTCTCCACATAATTCCTTGGCAGGAAGAGTGTGATAACAAAGGTTCTGGGCACTTCATGTGTACTCTCGTTTCGGTCAGATTTTCCTTAACATTCCTTCCCCTGAAGCCCATTTCACTTGAGCGTGAGGGGTCTGCAGATACACGCTCAAGGTTTAAGAGTCCTCTAAAACAATGTGTAGCTTAATTTGAGGTTTTCATTTCAGTTGAATAGCGTAAGTACATGCGGCTTTATGGTCAGTTTTGATTTCTCTAGAGGTTTCTTTCCCTTTGTTACACTCAGCCGCCCACTGGCCGCCCACTGTGAGGCTTCTGTTCTCCGTGTAAGGATTTCTCCTTTATCGTTCAGTCTATGAAAGCACGTTCTTCATGATGGAGGATGAGGGGTTTGCAGAGGAGAGAAAAATAATTGCACATTAAGGAGGGCCCGGGGCCTGCAACTCTTTCTCCTTTGGTTAGAATGAATGGTGCGCTCTGCTCCCTCCTGGGCCTCTGGCTCTGCGATGGATGGCGCGGTGCCCGCAGACTCCTCCTCGGCAGGGCGAGAGAGAAAGGAGGCCAGGCGGCTGGCCCTGGAAGGGGCAGGCACTGGGCTAAAGTCTGCAGCCCGAAACGCCGGCAGGGAACATTACGCAAGAGGAGCGCGGTGTTCCAGCTTCGGGAGCCGTCTTCAGGGCATTTGGAAGCCAGTGGCACCAGGGAGCGTGGCGCGACCACGGCACGCAGTGGGGTTGGAGCTGGAAGTACAGGCAGGGCCTTCCCGCCTTCCCTGGGGCGCAGTAACCACGTGCGGGAGCCGGACAGCTTTTACATGAGTGCTGGGAAAGTCACCGAGTTTACCCGGAAACTGCCACGCTAATTCTTCTGCTCTAAGACTTCATAATTTTGAAGTAAAAATTAAAATAAGTAATATAAAACAGATTGAGTTTCACATCAGAATTTGCAGTGTGGAGGGCCAGGGAGATGGCTCAGTAGAATAAGCGCTTCCCTGGCAAGCGGAAGGGCCTGAGTTCAATTCCCGGTTCAGCCCTCGCGCCACTCCAGCGCGGCCCACACGCCAGGACGCTCCGGCGGGGTCCCCCTCCGCACTTTCGTCGCTGGCCGATCACGCGGGCACCAGCGGACTGTGTGCTCACAAAGCATTTGTACTCACGTTCTGGGAAGTCCTCCGACGGTGACGTGGGGCCTGTGTCCCACTGTACGCTGTTCGTTCTGGGTCGGGGTTCTGTGTGCACACCCCGTTAGGACTGGGGAGACAAAAGGAGGGCACGCTGCCTTTGCCACGCTGAAGCGCGTCCGCGTGCGCGCGAGGAGCGCGGACAGAAGCTCCGAGCCGGGCGCAGACGGACCCGGCGGCGTGCAGGGTGCGGCGGGAGGACGG